CACCTGTCGCCACTCTGTGGACGTCCAGTTGCGGTACTGGCATGCAAATTCCAGCCTTCGTCGCCGATGAACAGCAGTCAGCATAGATGCATTAACCAGGCTTCTGCTACGGAGGCCCATGCGCAGCAACATTCGCTGAACCGTTGTTGAGGATACACACTTGGTAGCCTTTTGGTTCATCTGGGCGGTCAGTTGCTCAACAGTTGCACGTCAATTCACCCGAACGCGTCTCCGTAGCTTTCCTTCGCCTCTGCCATCTATAGCCCGTGGTGCACCGCATGTGGCACGCCGCTGATTTTGGATAGTGCCATTTTACCATGCACAGTATACTTTCAACACGGTGGCACGAAAACAGTTCACAAAATTAGCCGTTTCCGAAATGATTCCACACTTGGCCCGAAAGCCAATAATCATGCCCTTTTGGACGTCGGATAAATCGCTACGTTTTTGCATTACGCCAACGCTTGAAATGCTTTCAGATGCCCTAGGACATCCTTTATATACACTCTACTGTAATATGCTGCCACCTGCTTTTTGTGATTGGTTATTTCACGTTGATGTCGAAGGTTAGTGGTGGTCACAATGCAACATTTTTAAACTTGTACATTTCAAAAAACTAATACACTGAAAATGTCATTAAAAAAATTGCAGTCTCGGGAGAGAAGCTGATTGCATAGTTAAAATCAGTGATACAAAAGCAGCAATGATCCGTTAAGAAAACTCTCATGCAAAAAAAAAGGAAAGAAAAAAAATTGTTTATGTAATATCAGAATATGTTTTTTTTTAATTTCCAATGAGCTGCACTATAGGTCTTGCCGATGAGCAGACCTAGTGCGCTCTGCAGAGGTGGTATCCACTCTTTCAGGACCACCACAATGGGTGAGATACCATTGGTCATGTTAATTTGAGCGTCTAGTTTCTGCCACACTAGATGGCAGCACCGAGACTCTATTTGGATGCTAAAGTGCACTTGGAATTTAATTTTGCCGGAAATGCCAAGAGCCAATGAGGCACTCCAGGGATCTTTTACATGACGCATAATCATACGACATGGCCGCTGAGGATTTTCTGCATCCCGAAAATCCTGGGCCGGGGATCGAACCCGCAGACTTGGGCTCAGAAGGCCGACGACAAACCAACTGCGCCACCCAGCCAGAATATAATATCAGAATTTATCAACTTGTCCATTGTTTGCGCTAATTCATAGATGGCGCTGCAATTACATATTACTTTTGGAACTCGACTCCTTCCAAAAAGGAGTTAGTTTTCGTTCTGACCGGCAACGAGCAAGGTTGTCCGGAATAAGATTGTTTGTTTATATCCTGTTTTCATATTTTGTAAAGTAGTTTGTTAAGTTTTATTTTGAAGTTTCTTCAATAAGTCCATAGTAATCGAACCGCAGTTACTACAAGTATGATTAGGCTACATGTCTTTACCTCGTTCTGAAACTGCTGTAAAAAAATTTCCGCTGCGTTTTTTTTTCTTCTTTGTGCAATGATTGCAAGATTGCAAGTAAAACCAAAAAGAAGGCTTATCATTGTTAAACCATGCGCATTACGTATAAAGAAAAGCCCATCAGGTTTCTTTTAGGTACCTGTCCCCTGATTCGGGCTGTGACGCCGAGTTCCTCCTTTATTGTTCTGCGCTGTATAGCCGTTTCCGGCTCTTGCACCAATAAACTCTATATTCTAGAAAGATTTTTAACCAGAAATAAAAATAAATGAAATATTGAGTTTACTTTCGGTACAAGAGTTGGTCGCAAAATAACGCTGGTGGTCACTTTTTCTTCTTTCCGACCTCTTTCCTCAACCAACTTGATTTTACTGCTGGCAAGATCGTAGCAGAGCGTGACCTCTTTTCTCTCTTCAAAAAGATTCTTACCATCACCGTAGTAGCCATAGAATCTCAACTGCTTCGGATGATACTTTAAAAAATTGGCCCCCTTGTATTCCTTTACGAATGGCTTTCTGTAAGACTTGGGAGTATTCATCTGTATATACAAAATAATTTTTTAAATATTTTTTTTGTCTTAGCACACTGCAAGCGGTTCACGTAAAAATGCGTTTTTGAAATTAATGCTATCCATGCAAAAGTTTAAAAAGTGGTAGCAAAACTACTTCGTTTCCGCTGTGTTTTTCAAAGAAATTGTCCGTTCATGATTACCAGAGACATAAATGACTCAGTATATACGTAATCAGAACTATAATCGTTCGTTATAAATTTTTTTTAATTGAGGTTGTATCTATAGTGACAAGTTTGTTTCAACTTTTATGAAAACTTGCCTACCACTTTTTTAAAATTTTAATACATTTTTTCGAAAAGTTGTCCGCAGGCAATGTGTTAAGAGCTCAAAAGACTAAGCAGGACAAGACAAAGAGCATACTAAACAGGTCTGTTTATATACGAGAAAAATATAAAACTGGTAGTAAAACCGTTTCATATCTTACTTGTTTTTGGGAGAAATAATGAACCTTAACTACCAAGATTTATTAAAAGTTATAATGCATATACAAGACCGTTTCCCAAGATAGAAAATAATTGCATACCTGCCAACTTTTAATTCCTTCCATTATGATTTTTACCAGTGGTATTAAAACGGAATTCAAATTTCAATTTTAAGCAAAAAAAATACGTTGTATTTGAAAAAGCTTAAGCTGACACGCATGATAGTAACACATATTAATATATATGCTTAATTTTCTTAAGAACAGTGGTGATCAAAATCATTTAAAAATTAAGTTAATAAAAGAAAAAATAGTATATATTTACTACCACTTTAAATATGAAAATAATATTTTACGCCAAATGCTTAAAAGTTGGCAGGTATGTAATTGTGAATAACTTTGGGGAATAACAGACATTTGTTCTTTGTGGAAAAAAGCTAGAAAGAGAATGATACATGCTAAATGCATATTGTCATCCAGATATCAATGGAAAATTTTTATTTCCTATCTCACGGCTGTACTAAAATTTTAATAATAAAGTACTTTGCTACGTTTGTTCCAGAATTTAAATTTTCCTAGTCTATTACTTAGTTGAAATCACCTAATTATGATGGTAAAAGTTTACTTAGAGTTCTAGTCTATATTTAAATAACGTCATACCTCTTCCCTGTCCATCGTAATGGCGTCATAGACATCTGGTTGTGGTGATCGCACCCTGAATCCCATTTCGGTCAAGAAATTTCTTGTGAACGGGTCACAGTTTATCAAGGTGTATTCCCGTCCATTCACAATTAATGTGTTTCCAATGTTCAGATCATCGATGGTGTAGTACCCTCCGTCCGGATTCTTAAATTTTCCTTTTCCAACAATGCAACCTTAAATGATTCATATTTTATACCTCCTTATATTTATTTAAGTCTATCGGAAAGTTCTGTCCGCTAAAGTGCGCACTCCCTTTTCTTCCTTTCTTACAGTAATGCAGAAGGTTCTTTTATATAAAAAAAAGTAGTATAAGATATTTACCCTTTAACTCAATGGTAATATTCTTGCTTAATGTGATACAGCATATATGCATAGTTGCCAACTTGTATGGTTGTTGAGAAAGATTTTAGAGAGTAGTAGTCTTATAATGCTTATCGTATTAAGATTTTTCTAAAAATTAAGCTATTTTACTAACTAATATTTCCTAATATAATATAAAAAAACTTAAACTGTATAAAGCATATGGGCACCTTTCCCATTCATCTTTAGCTTGATCTTTGTGGTGTTTCGATGAGGTTGTGGAATGCAAATGAAGTAAAGAAGTATTCATGTGGATCATTGAGGTACTAACTGTGTAATTATATGTAGAAGGGTGATAAGACTATATTGTAATATAATATAGTCTTCGTTTGTTGTAGCGCAACTGGGTGTCTGAGGCCATTACGGCCCTTTTCCCATTCATCCTGAAATTAGACTAAGAAACATACATGACAAATATAAAGTTTGGGGCGCAAAATGGAGTTCGTAATAGAAAAAAAATGGCACTTTGCCATTATTAATAATATAGTCTTCGACTTGATATGTATTGTAGCAGAGTGCCTGCCCGCGAAGCGGGCATCTTCCTCCTTCTTCTGATGAAATGGTATAATGGCTGAGACTCTTTCTGTGTGCTGTTATCAAATGGAAATTTCGTATAGGTACTTAGGTACTTGTAATGTACCGATCTGGAAACTGTACTAAGGCTATAGTACAATTTGATGAAAAACTCCCACCTTTGAAAAAAGTGTGGCCTTTTGCAAGCCATACTTTCCCGCTTTCGTGATGGTGTGAAGTTGCAAGGAAAAAACCGTAAAGATAAGTTTATTAGGTGAATAAAGATATTTTTATGAAAAATAAAAATTGTACGTATGTTCGATAATTATGCGCGCATTTGAAAATCATGCAATTTTCCGCATCTTTGCACAGTTTGTAAATTCCTATACGTAACTCAATAATTGGTACTGAATTTATGCTGATTTGATTAATATAATTCTACAGTGGTAATCATTAGAAAAAATGTCCGTTTAATTTTAACATTAATGAAATATCATTATTTTTATAATAAAACCTCATGGATCATTTCTATATTGAAAGACCAACTTTAAAATATAAATCAGTGGGGCGACAATTAAGGAAAACTTATATATATAACAAAACTATGAGTATAATTGGGTATAATGTGAAAAAAAACACAACTACTTCGATTTAGTAGGAACAACATATGACGCAATGCTAAACGAATGGAATTTAGTTGTTGTTTATTTAGTTATTGTTATTAGTAGTTGTTGTNGAAGCGGTCATCTCCCTCCTTCTTCTGATGAAATGGTATAATGGCTGAGACTCTTTCTGTGTGCTGTTATCAAATGGAAATTTCGTATAGGTACTTAGGTACTTGTAATGTACCGATCTGAAAACTGTACTAAGGCTATGGTACAATTTGATGAAAAACTCCCACCTTTGAAAAAAGTGTGGCCTTTTGCAAGCCACACTTTCCCGCTTTCGTGATGATGTGAAGTTGCAAGGAAAAAACCGTAAATATAAGTTTATTAGGTGAATAAAGATATTTTAATGAAAAATAAAAATTGTACGTATATTCGATAATTATGCGCGCAATTGAAAATTATGCAATTTTCCGCATCTTTGCACAGTTTGTAAATTCCTATACACAACTCAATATTTGGTACTGAATTTATGCTGATTTGATTAATATGTGGTAATTATTAGAAAAAAATGTCCGTTTAATTTTAACATTAATGAAATATCATTATTTTTATAATAAAACCTCACGGATCATTTTGTATATTAAAAGCCTGACTTTAAAATATAAATCAGTGGGGCGACAATTAAGGAAAACTTATGTATGACAAAACTATGAGTATAATTAAAATTTTGAATAAGAAAGCTAAGAAGAAAGTGCTACATAAAATAAGCCGAAGCCATTTTGTTTCTGACCTCAAATAAATTGCTTACGGGATATTTTTATTAAGCTACTTTTACATTTTATCGTACCTGTTGTCACCTTGTTAACAATTGTGAAACTCAATAAAAAATAATAAAAATACGCACTTATGGTGAAAAGAAACATTACCCTGAAGCAGTCCGCTATTCTTGTTACATGGTTCGTATATTTTCATTTCATCATCTTCTAAAAAGTAAGAAATGTTACATTTACGAAATCTTGTCGTTGACTTCTCTTCGTCGCCTAACTTTTCTCGATAGAATGCCGTGAAAGTCAAACTCTGAAAAAAATTGGCAGAAATTTAAACACAGTATTTAATTTCAGATGAATATATTTAAAAGGAAACAATAGCATATTATAACCGTCGCTGAACAGTCGACCCAGTTTAGGGTTTACGACTACCAATCTTCAACTCCGTAGCCTTCTAATTTTGAACCCAATCCAGAAGACGAGGGAACTCCTGGATCAAGTATTGGGAGAAATTCGCCTTCATGGATGACTTTTTGATGGAACTAATCCGCATTTGCGTTACATGAAGAGGAAACGAAGAAAACCTCCCACGGTTAGCCTGATGGCAAGGGGACTCTAACCCATTATCCGTCTACCACTTAAGATATTTTACGTCCGCACTGTGGTCGATGCGATCCAGGTGTGGAATTCGTATCGACCATCCATCACTGGGTTTTTAACCCGGTTCACATCATTGGAAGGCAATCGCTCTATCCCCTGAGCCACCACGGCTCAAAATAATAGTATAAATACTACGGATGATTTTAAATGCATAGCATTGCAGATATGTATCCATATATTTAAGACTTCATATGTCTTTAAATAACAATCTCCGCTTATTGATTTTTTTTTTTTTTAATTTCCATAACAATTTTATTGTTTCCGAACGCTTACGCCAATTTACTGTGCCGCATTTAGTTTTACAGAAAAATTTGTTAAAGTAGGATTTTATAGATTTCATAAGTAAGTGAATTATCACTTCTTGGGATTACAATAGCTTTATTTACTATATAAATGAATTCTGAGCTAGTGCATCTTTTCCTTTAAGTATCATATGAATCCCAACTTTTCCATTTTATTCATTCTAAAATCCGAATTTGCATCTTGAAAACTGTCTTGTGGATAAATATAAACGAATTATAGATATAAAATAATTTATTACTAAAAAATTTTTTCTTCTTATTTTACTTTTAAAATGTACTAGAAGTTATGGCAAAATTGTGGTTTCTTTCCTTCTTTGTTTATATATGTCATATTTTCATACTTAATTGTTATTACTTAAATACAATTATAAATTAAAGAAATGTGTCTAGATGTTAATACGGATCAATTTTTGCTCCTTAAAACATTTAATATTTCCAATAATCTCAAGATACATTTGTCAATACTTTTTAACTTGTTTCATCAGTAAATAATCGAATACCTATTCTGGACATTACTTTACATATTTTAGACATTACTTTAGTCTAAAATATATAATAAAAATTATAAAAAATTATTATAAATAACGATTAAATAAAATTTTAATCCTTACTGGTACGTTGTTGTAGTTAAAAGTGTCATTCCCCACTAGATAAGAGGCTCGACTTATTTTAGGCCCCTTATCTTCTAGATTCTCTTCAATTTTCAATCCATTTCGAAAAACAAAACGTTGAGGTTTGTGGAAACTTACTTCGTCCTATAATGAAAACAAGATCTTATGCTAGAAAAAATCGAAGAGTGCTAAATAAAAAGGTAAAATCACTCGCATGAAATTAACAGAAAATAAAAATGGACTGGAGTTCTTTCCCCAAAAATAGAGTATTAATCCCTTAACTTGTGCGCTCGAGTTAATTCGAGCGGCGTTGTGCTTCATGTTGCTATAATTTTTCACACTCGAATATAATCGAGAATTGAAAATAACAATGTGAAAGCTAAGAAAAAAAATTGTTTTATTGATATTTATCATTTACATAGGACTGTAAGCTGTAACATTTATTTATTCAGGAATACAATATTACAGAGTTGCCAACTTGCTCCGGACAGCAAATGTGTATTTTAAAGTGGTAGTTTATCAATCGTGATTCTTGGTTTAATAAATTCAATTTAGTAGATTTTTATCCACCACTATTTCTAAATAATTCATAGGCTTATATATTTCACCACTTTTCAATACTGAAGTCAACTCTCCATGGCAGAAGAAAAGATTATAAGAAGACTCGTCGGCGCCCCTAAATGCATTAGCAATAACAGTATAAAAAGGGATCTTAAAATTGATGACATCAACGTCTATATAAAAAATTTAAACAAAAATTTCTACAATGAAGCAAAAACCTGTCCCACCAGCAATTTTAACTCACTCCTAGATATTGAATTAATTGACGACAACACTAAATTTAGCCCAATCACTGCCTTTTTTCTTAGGGATATGATGTTGCCCTAGCACGCGAAATACACTCTCGATTTTTGGTGCTAAGCACCCCCTCTTCCCCCCATCTCCATTCCACCTCACTACTCCTCATCATCGATTTATTACTACAGATGAATCGGTTAATGCCGCTTCGCGGCAGCGCACCGAGATTTCTATGATTTCTACCATTCTACCAATACTGAAGTCAAGCTAAACCCTTTAAAAAGCAAGTATAAATAGTCAAATATTTGCAAAATTTACTGTAGTTATTTACAGTTTTTTTTAAATTATTTTGGCGTGTCCGGACCAGTTGGCAACTCTGAATATAGCCTTTTTCCATCGAACAAAAGCGCTGTATATCAAAATTGTCCACCAAAAAAAGAATACAATATTCTAAAGTGTGTTTTTTTACATAAAAAAGAAATGGATTACTATTTGGCCGGTTTTTTTTCAAAACATCTGTGCGTTAAGGGGTTAATGGCACCTAACAAAAGGCGATTGCTTTCAATCAATGTGCGTTATGCGTGCTAATTTAACCGAGTCAGGGACATTCTTTCGCAGGCCCGCTTGACTTATTTCGGAAAAATAAACAATAAAATAAGTTTACTCGCTAATACGAGGAAGGACCTAAAGCCAAACTGTATAAGACATTTTACATACGAATAGGAGCTTTAGAGAGCGAATTAAACGCTTACTATGGTAATGATCCAGTCATGTAATTCGACATTCATTAAGCGAACAAGATAGTTTAAATAGACTAATTAAACGAGATTGTTTAAGTAGACTAATGAAATTGAAAAAGCGCGAGACATGAATTGAAACGCAAGAGAAGTAGATTGAAAATTTTGAAAAAGTTGGAAACGACCAACGATTGAAAGTGGAGCAGTTAATATTTTTGAACACTCAGTTTAAAACGATTAAATGTATGTGAATCGGAGGTCTGAAAGTTTTTTACAACTTTGTAACTGTCCTCCGATACACAAGCTGGAGTTGTCTTTCTGGGACGCACTAGCTGGAGTTGTCTTTCTGGAGACTTTTTCCTCAATGCCTAAATGAGGATTTCTCGGAGAGTGCATATCGAGGAAATCGTTGTTTTTTCTTCTTCTAAAAGGGGATAAATGTTAAAATTTTTTTAAGATCTTTTAGTACTTACCCGATTCAGAGACCGTGAAAAAATGGCTCAAACTTTTATCGACCAGTTGTATTATGGATCCATAATTTGGATTTAGATCTCGTTAAATTAAAATAATAATAATAATTTTTAGTGCGATGTCAGATTCATACTGTATTTACCTTTTTCTACATCTTAAGTGAAAGGAAAGTTTAGTACCTTATTTTAAGTAATCAAATAAAATTTCTGCGAAGTGTTTTTTTCCTACTTGAGATTTCGAGTTTTTATAGAAAATATATTGTGATTACGTAACATTTTTATTTCAATTACAAATCTTCACGACTTAATGTTACTTTAGGAAATTTTAAAAATTTAAGAAGTAAAGTGTTTAACATTTGCTCGTATAAAACCATTAAAAGATCAGCTTAACGAAAGTAATAGCAATAATATTTTATAGAATAGCATAAAATTGTAAATAATACTCTTAATTGTGTAACTTTACTGATTTTTTTAAGTTCCGTATTTAAAATTTCAGGGAACCAGTGGCAAAAAAATTATCACAAACAAATTTCAACAATATTACATCAATTTGTTCATTTTTGTATGTACGTCCGCAGATGCATTCTGTGTTAGAAAGCATTAAAATACATGATGTCTGAAAAATTAAAAGCTAGTCCAATTCGTCATTAACATATCCACCGTATTAAAATATTAACATTTGAAAGAGATGAAATTGCTTACTTGTTTGACCAAAAACCCCGGTACAGCAGTAAACATATTTTTATTTCGAGAAATTCTGCATACAGATTCTAACGAGATGTAGGATTGTAAAGAAATAATTATTTAGTTATTTTAACAAGAAATTGCTATAAGAGAATATTAGTGATAGATTTGTTTATTTGTCCAACGATCATGCATGTGTAATATTACAAATTCCCCGATGTATTAAAATTGATTAAGTCCTTGGATTTAAAAAGAATAGTGCTCTTAGAAATATGAAGTTTAAAGTATATTTAGGAAATCTGAAAGACGAACAAACTTATGCGGACTTCTTTTTTAGCATTTCCAAGTTGCGAACAAAAATTATAATTGTTTCATAGAATCATTGCCACACAAATAACTGGGTACTTGCACTTCAAGAAGAAGAAGATTACGGATGCCCACACATGTGACCTAGCTGCTTGTTTATAAGCAAAATGACGCGTTAAAGTTGAGATAAGTTTCTGCACATAAGTTAGCATATTGATTAACGTGAAGTTAATTAAATACAATACCGCCGTATCGCACGTCGAATTTATTGAACTATAGCTCTTTTTCGTCTACATCTTTTACTTTACTTAGATTCATTATTTGTTCATGTATTTTTTGTGACAGTAATATATTTTCGTTTTGTGTACCTGTCAACTTTGATACATTATAAGTTTGCTTCGTGCCTGTTTCTGCGTTAAGTAAAAAATATACTGTGAAAGAATGGAAATCTTTGTGAAGAATCTTTGTGTAAGAATATAGAATGACACTTAAGAGAATACTTAAGGGATTGGCTTACTCGAAATGGAAAGGAAAGAACAGTTGCTAACGTAAACAAATGCCACGTTTCAGCAACCAATCAGGATCGAGATACTCGCATTACGTCACTTGCAGGCATTCCATTGCTAGATGGCATTAAAAAAATCTTTGTTAAATTCGGAGGTTTACGCAAAACAGATCGAATGGAGTAAAAAACCATCAAATTTGCTTCATAAAAACATTGACAGCTTTCTACCTTTAAAAAAGTGAGGGAAACGTCACTAATATACAGTGGTGACAATCAGGTGGGAAAGTACATAGTGGTAATCGAACTATTAGTTCAACTGAAAAATTCTGTTCAATCGGGTAGTTGCGACTCGAGAAGAAGTGAAGTGATTATGGCTAACCACGTGATAAAATTAGATTTAATTGGCTACTTTTAGGCAACGTCACGGGCGTGTGTTGAAACTGATTGACTTCTATGTCGGACAAATACCACGATTTAACTACGATGACGTCAATTACAAGTATCCAATTCTTCTTTTTTGATGAAACTAACCCACATTTGCGTTACATGGAGAGGAAAATCTCGAAAACCTCCCACGGTTAGCCTGACAGGAAAGAAACTCTAACCTATGATCTGTCTATCACTGAGGATATTTTTACGTCAGCACTGTGGTCGGTGCGATATGGGTGCTGAATATTAAAATTAGATAGACCATTATCATTGACTTAAAGAGTAAATACTCACCATTTTCTTTTGTAAAAAAATCTTTTGTATTACTTTAAAAAGAAGCGTATACTTTTCGGCACGCCAATTAATTTTAATTACTAAAAGTGAAGCTAGCTAATTTTCCTAACTCATTTGTAATCGTCTTAACTGTTTAATCTTTCAATTTCGCTGAAAGATTTTCTTTCATATTTAAAATAGTAATAAAGTGCATGATTTAATATTTTTACTTTGCCTTAGCAAAGTAAATTTTCAATAATTTTGGCAGCTACTACGCTTGTAATAAACTTCTGCCACCACCAAAAATTCCCCTTCTTTTAAAGTTTTTCAAAAGTGATGCGCTCAACATTTTTCATCTTTAGAGTGGCATTTATAATTTCTACATTTTAACCCTCTAGAGAAAGGTAATTTTTAATGTTTAATAACGTTTAATAATATTTGACGATGTTCAAATGATTCATGTGTCGTAAACAATTTTAAATCGGATTTTTGAATGATTTACTAGGTAAGTAACAGCAAAAATTGTCTATTATTTTACGTCGTGTCTATTATTTGGCCTTGGCGTCATTTTCTCTCTATGTCACGTTAGAATTTCGCCGCTATCTTACAAATTTTTTAATTAAACTGATTGAGATATTTATCCTTATAACAAAGGAATATTCACAAAATTATACACACGTATATACAAATTCGTAACAATACCATATTACTTTTGACATAATAAATTTGATTTATCACTCCTAATCTGGGAAATATGATCCCAATAATTTGGTCAGGAGGGCGGTCGAAAGTTTGCTCCCCTTAATGCAGTGGCGTAGCGAGCTTAACTCGCGCCCGGGGCACAATACCCTTTTAGCGCCCCCCTTTCGAAAACCATGTGANTGCGGACCATTTGGCGCCCCTTTGTGAGTAGCGCCCGGGGCATGATGCCCCCCCTTGCCCACCCCTCGCTACGCCACTGCCTTAATGTTAACTTTACTTTTTGCGTATTTCATTAAATCTCGAGAACTCTTAAAGCGAACTGAAACATTTTTGCACACATTGCCCCTTTCATCCACTGTCCTAATTTCAAGACGCTATCATAAACGGTTCTGAAGTTATAAGACATGCAAACAAAATTATTTCATTTTAGTAGTGCTTGTATGCAAAAGTTAGTTCACCTCCTTGATTGTTAGTAGTACAGAACCCGTTATCCGGAAATCAGAAAACCAAAAAACTGGAACGAAATTCGATAAATTTTCCCGCAATTTTTGAAAAAAAAATTTTTTTTCCTCATAGGATTTTAGGATTTTTCTTTCTTTTTTGAAAGATGTTTACCTTACCATCATTTTGGAAATAATCATTAGTGTATTACTTCATCGTTTTTCTCTTCTTTTTAAGATTATTTCCAAAAAATAACAATTTTTTTTAAGTTGGGTTTAACAATAAAAAAACGGCTTTTTGTAGCGATTCAGAAAACCGGAAAAATCAGTTATCGGGAATACCGATAGTCCCTATCGTTCCGGATAATCGGTTCTCTACTGTATATAAAGAAATGTGATTCAGAATTATATACATTAATGTCTTTATTTAACAGTATATTCAACAATTTTTTTTATTATAGATGTAGATAAAATATTTAGACCAATAAATGATACATTAAATATCAACATAAAATTTAATCGATTAAAACGAATGCATCAATAATTTCATTAATACGTAAAGTAGAAATACGATAATTAAATCAGTAATAAAAACTACAAATTAAAAAAAACATTAAAAAATTTAAAATATATATAATTAATTTTAGTTAAAATTGACTAATTGGTGGTAGGTAATAAAAAAATCTAAATGTTAAATTGATAAAAGAATAAAAATAATTATTCTTTTATCCGTTTATTTTTTTTTTCTAATCATAAAGAGTGCCTTTAGCAGATGAAATAAATAATAATTAATAATATCGCAGGTGTTAAATAAATAAAAATTACTGTTTAAAAAAGTTGAGTTTTGAAAAAAGACAGAACAAAGAAGTTGTATTTAGATACTTGAAAATATCGTTAGCATTTTTTTCTTGCCTTGAATTATTTTGAGATAATAAAGAGAAACATAAATTTTCATCTCATCTATTTACCTTTTCATTTTATTCATCGCATAACTGCATTTAACTACCATTATGTAGCTTTCATAAAGAAATTCTATGAAAGACAGAAGTTCGACATCTTTTTTTCTTCTCCGTTTACCCAATAATCTACCTCGATTATTGCTATATACAACATGATCAAATATATAACAAGATCAGGCAAAGGCTTCGCTTATAACAGGTTTATTGCGTTGCGCCCAAGGAAAAAGAAGAAGAATCACTTTCACCCAAATCATTCTAATACCTAATAATTCCTTATAATCAAACACTTTATAGTGTAAAAAGAATTCTGCTTTAAAAACTATGTCTACCAGAAGTGAGTAAGTAACTATTTTACTTTAATTTTCAAAATCTGTGTACAGTAAATGATTGATTTGCTTAAACACTACTTAAACTATGAACCAGCTGCATTGTTTCGTTTTATTGTTTACATATTAATGGTTGTGATTTAATATTCTGAGCAGTGGCGTTCTGTACGGCGACGAAAACGGGGATTCCCCGTTAAGCAGTGGCGTTCGGTACGGCAACGAAAACGGGGATTCCCCGTTGCTCCGGAGCCAGTTTACTTCAGTTCTTAGTACTACATATTGAAAAATAAATTTAAATAAAATTCAGAAATAAATAGTAGGCTAAAGAAAATAATGTTTTTTTAGTGAAAAATAACTGTTTAGAATCGTTACACTTTGCATTTACACATTATTCAAAATTGCGTTTTTCATAAAAATTTAAGTTGCTTTTATCGTCTCAGACAAGATTGGAAAAAAAAACGGTTTGTTTAAAAAAAAATCCCGAAAAACTAGATTTTTTTTGTTCGGGTTTTCTTTTTTTTTGGGGGGGGGGAGGGGTATTTTATTATTATTTTGGTTACTCATATTAAGCTTCAAATTAAAAGTAATTTAGCAATTAAGAAATTTCGAACAACTAAAGATGTAATATTTTTAACTATTGATTAATATTTTGATAAAGAAGACAAAAGTATTAACTTTTGCTCATAAATAAGTGAACAGAATTGAAAGTTAATATAGTAACTAAAGATGTTGAATATTTATTAAACTCCACTTGACAAGCAAATAAACATCTAATATCTAATTGCTTTTTTTAGCAATGCATGTATGCAAAAGTTAGTTCACCTCCTTGATTGTTAGTATATAAAGAAATGTGATTCAGAATTATTTACATTAATGTCCTAATTTAACAATATATTTAACAGTAATTTTTTTTTATTTATATAATATGAAAATTTTAATTTAAAAATTACAATAATATAAACATACTGCATACATAAAAAAAAACTAATTTATTTACACTGACAGAAAATATTTTTAAAGTTAAACTGAAAAAATAAAATTTAGAAAATCCCTCATTATACTTTTGATTTCAACATACATAGTGCATTTAATAAGAAGTTAAAAATAAATTTGG